CTTCGCGTTACATACCTTTTCATCGTTTACTTAAATTTTCGTCATCTCATTCCATTTTTGATCCTCCTACTAATACTGGGTCCTCCATGACCGAGCTTCGACATCCCTTTATTCTCCAATCTGCCTCAGCTGATATATTAACTCGCCATTCACATGCACGAATCTAGACGCAGACCACAGACGCACCATATACATGTAAACAAATTTGCTTTCACATTTTTGTCTTTTTAGCTATTCTTCCGTGGGGTTGCACATACACTAGATTTTATGTTAATCTCGATACGAGCCACTCGCATTCTTTCATTTTCGAGTACTCGCGCGCAGAACTAGATTTCAAGCTGAACCACTATTCTTGATCCCCCCATCCAGAATCGCCTATCTTCTGGCAGTCTGGCGTTTGGTTTTATCGAGCATTTAAAAGGCCTTTATCAAGTCACCTCATCCTGTTGTCAGGTGGTTGTGCGCCCAACCAGGCATCATATCAGTTTGACTGACGTGAGTTAGATCCTACCTATGTTTAGATTGAACCCAGATGTATTTTATTTTTGATTGCGCACTTTCACACTACACATGAAAATATTGACCAGTACGATTGGCCAGCAACCCGCTTCATGAGTATCCTTTTTTCTTCGTTTTATTCACTTTACCCGCTGGATATTCTACATTTGTTTTTCAAAACGTATCCTCTACGATTCTGCCCTTCTATTAAATTTAGTTTTCTTATATAGTGATTTCTTTAAAGTGAACGTCTAAGTATTACATTGCAATGAAATTTCCTGAAGGAATGATTAAGAGGCTAGATGCTTCAAAGGAGTTACTGTTTCGTTGTCATGGTCTCATTATTTTGAATATGATTCCATCTTTCCCGTTATTTTCCTTCTTTTAACTGGGCTTGATAGGATTGCAATCTTTTTCCCAGGTTAACTTTAATTCTCGTTTTAAATTCTACAAAATATGCACTATACACATCGATATGTTAAATCGCTATTCCGTATAAACCTCAATTATTATTCCATATGCTTATTTTCTGATAAATCCTTTAGTTGAATAACACTGAGTCATGCACTCATTTTCCGCTTTTGATCCCTTTACCCTTAATCTGCTTCGTCTTCGAACTAATTTAGAAACTCTTTTTGGACTCCATTCCGTTTTCTCTCGCATTCCCCACTAACAGAATTATATATTTATTAACATACACACAGCCATACATATATACATACGTATCTATATGTATACATGTGGAGGTATTTATTAATAGCCACTTGCTGGCATGACAAGGTTTAATTACCTCGTATTGAAATATCAAGCAGCGCATAAAAGATAGCACTAAGTCCTATCTTGCCTTTAAACTTTTGCTGTTATTTTTTGGCTATGCATTTCGTTTTCCTTACATTTTGCTGACTTCAAATACTGGTAGCTGCTTGCTTATCACATATATATGCATCCATTTATGCTTATATGTATGTATATGGATTGAACAACCTAAGTGCCAAGTCAAGCAACATGAGCACCTTTAGCCTTCGCGCCTTTCTCTGCATCCGTTTGCAGATTCGCATGAGTGCATGATTTTCCCGCTATCTTCATCTTCGGAATCCTTCCTTTATATTCTTGATTGCCCTCGTCATTATCCTTGTGTAGGGGTGGTTGCAAAATTTACCATAAAATAGTCCATACTTTATCTTATTATCCTCCTAGGTTTGTTGTGCCCTTTTAACTTTGATCACCATAGGCATGAATTAATGAATTTAGTTTTTAAGATTAACTTTTAAGAATCTTACATTCTCTATATGCCATCTCTTAGATCAGTCAGGTCTAATTTCTATAAGCATGCGCATCAACCCTGCCCATATTGATTGGCTCTATCCTTTAACATGGTTGTGTCGTCTATTTTTTTCATTTCTTTACCCAATCCAACCAGCCACTTCATGTTGTATAGGTGCTCTTCAGACTTATATTCGCTTTCTTTAACGTGCTCATTTTTATCTGGTTCATATCATGACTCTTTTTTCATTTACCTAGTGCCATAAATCGTCTTGCATAGAATACTTTACTCGTTAATTTTCCGCTTTCGTCCAGCCTTTCCCATTTTCCGGCTATTTCAAGATGAATTGAGCCAGTGT